TAGTAGTTCCTTTTGGGGATTACCGAATAGGATCCTAAAAATAGGCCACGAAGAGGAGCTACTATGCGGCCTATGGGCAGTTAGAGCAAGGTTGGTTTTCGGAGGTGTAGTATACTACTATAAAGTGATAGAAGGACAGTAAAGTGAAATTATTAGTGAATTGTGACGCAAGCTTTCATACTCTGCAAAAGGAATAAAACCCCACAGCCTTAAACCGTCAAGCCTGACGAAACGATGGACAAAAAACAGTTCCTGAGCAAGACCGAATCAACTGTGCAAACCAACTAAAAAAATCCGACCACGATTGGATAAAACACAAAACACGAAACTACTATCCAAACAACAAGACAAAACCACACAAAACACAATCAAAACACCGGCATTCACAAAAATCGCAAAACAACACCGCTGAGCTACAAAATTCTAAACCCTTGAACCCTAAACCCCTAACCCTAAACCCCTAAATCCTATAAACCCTATAAACCCTAAACCCCTAAACCCTGAACCTTTAAACCCTAAAGCCCTAAAACCAACAAAGACCTCTTGCAGCTCCAGAGGCTGGCGCCGCGCCCTTGGATGGCGCAGGTGGCCGGCAGGAAGGGGCCCTCCGAAGTCCATGTGCTCGAGCGCCTACGGGCTTTAGGGTTTACCCATAGGCCCCATAGCATCTCCTTTTTGGGATTACCGAATAGGATCCTACATAAAAGCCACAAAAAGAAACTACTATGGGGCCTATGGGTATAGGCTTGGGGTGCAGGGTTTGTAGAGTTTAGGTCCAGTCTGGACTAGTGCTTCGGGTGTAGAAGCTTAGGGAAGTTCGGTGGGGTTCAGGATCCACCGGAAGTGGCTTTCGATTCTTGTATACCGGCGACAGCAATTAGACGCGAGGTGTTCGCAAACAGACTCTCACTTGCCCTTACCGACATCCGAAGAGCCATGTAGTGTCTTTATGCATGCTACCCTACCCATCTACTAAACCCTAGAAGCCCTACCCATAGATCTTCAAGGTTTACCGAAGGGCCTTGCCAAAGGGCATCTCAAAGGTGACTTGCAGGCAGGCCAACCTGCAACGACGGCATGAGACTTTGCCGGAAACTGTTCGTATCATTAAGAACCTCTTGTCGCGCTAAGGGACGATCATCTTGTTCCCTAAACCCAAAACCCAAAACCCTAAACCCTAAACCCTAAACCCTAAACCCTAAACCTTCTCTGGGACCTGAGACTTCTCTGCTTGCATCACTGCGCCCGAAAGCCTGGCTTGGCTTGGGCGGACAAGAACCTGTTGTTGTGCCACTTCTCTTTAGGGTTTAGGGTTTAGGGTTTAGGGTTTAGGGTTTAGGGTTTAGGGTTTAGGCTTGGGTTGGGCGGACAAGAGCCTGTTGTTCAAGGTGTGCCCGCAGCTCAAGCCCGTGAACCCGTATCAAGCAGTATTCAAGACAGGCCATGACAGCAGAAAGGGGACCATCTCATCAACTGTTGTGAATTGTGCTCCGTTCTATGAAGGTATGACAAAAATTTGGGTGCAGTGTTTCGGCTGCAAGTTTCGTTAGCTGTTCTGGCCGTTGGGAAGTGGGCCCCCTTGCATCTTCGTAAACTCCTGAACGGTGGCAGCCGAAACTGTCTGCCTGGGAGGACCCTAAAGCAACCCTCAAACTAAACCCCTAAGCTCTAAGCCGGCAAGCCTGAATCCTGAAAGCCCTAAACCCCAAACCCCAAACCCTAAACCCTAAAGAGTAAGCCTAAACCCTAAACCCCACCAGGAACAGACAACAGCCCCCCAAAATCGGCCTGCTGGCTGCGCGGATCTCCGTGCCCATGGCTATCCGGAATCTGCTTGAGGCCTGTGGGTTTAGGGTTTAGTGTTTAGGGCAATGACGCTCTTTCATGAAGTGGGCGAAAGAAGGGCTTTGGGTTTGGGGTGAAATTTCGAGTTAAGGGATTCGGGCGTTGGGTTTAGATTCTGGTTCCTCGTAGAGGATCCTTGCCTCAACAGTCTCGCCCTGTGAGCGAAGCCCCGACAGATTTGAAGCCCCCCAAGCCCTCGGACTAAACCCTACATCCTACAAATACAACCCAACAATAAACCTGAAATCCCAAAACCCTAAACCCAAAAACCTGAAAGCCCAAAACCCAGATGCTCCTTAACCCTGAAGGCCCTTCCCGGCCTCCACGAGGGCGTGGGCGAAGTAACCCCGAACCGGCCGCTCGTCGTCAAAGTCTTCAAGCCAGGCCTGCAAAGATGCACCACTGCAATGCTAGAAGGATGCTGTCCTTCGGGGACTTGAGGGGTTTATTAGATCGAGGGCTAACCTGGTTAGGCTAAAGCGGTTAAACGGTTAAATACGCACGGAGAAGACCAGGCCAAGAAGTTTACAGGCTAGCTCTTCAGCTATGAAGTTGTAAAGCTTCAGAACCTGCTTTAATATGGGATGCTTCAGCAAGATGTCAAAGAAGGGGTGTACATGCTGACATGAATGTACATGTGGGTAGTTGTCAAAATTATGGTCCCTTTTGGGGTACCCTAAATAATAGGTGCCGTATTATAATAAGGACCCCAAAAGGGACCACACTTTTGACAACCACAGCATGTTTGGAAGGTCAACTTTAGAGTTGCATGATAATGATGGGGAGTTTAGGGGTATATCCTAGGACCTAGGATGATTGCAGAGGGACTCATCGAGAAAGCAACTACTAAACCCTAAAACCCTAAAACCCCTAAACCCTGTCTGTGTGGGACCCCGGGTTCTAGATTAAAGCCTTGAGTGCGGGTTTAAGGCTCCGGTTTGCCAACTCAGCGCTCGTGGCTGCTGCAACTGCTCCTGTTCGTACGAATGATGTGCTCTGCTCTCCCAGCCGTGGATAGTTGCAGTGGGGAGTTCGCAAAATAGCGGAACGGAGCCCCCCATGTAGACCCCGAGTAGTATGAGTAGACATCCCAACAATAAGCCTGACTGATGGAATTGGGGTTCCAGGTGTATTGAGGGTCGCCGTCTTGAATAGAAGCATCAGAACCAAGAGCAGTACTTCTTGAGTACGAAAAGTACAGCCAGTATCATCGTGATATCGCTCCTGGCGAGCAGGAGGCAACGAAACAACTTCCGCTCAAGCACGAGAGAAGTATCCTCGATTGTTTCTGTGGCTGCCACTGTAAGTCATGGGCGATATGTGCTGATTTGCTCCCATATTATTGGCTTAGCCAGGGTTGACTTTGCTGTGCTGAGTGAGCTTAAACCCTAAACCCTAAACTCTATACCCTAAACCCGAGCGGTCTTTTTTCTCAAGTCTCCGGTGTCGGCGCAGACCGCAGGGACTAGGAGCGCACGCGACCTGCAAAGAGGGCGTGGCAGCATTGCCTCTCGTGGCCTTCGAGCCTGGACTACGGTTTAGGGTTTAGGGTTTAGGGTTTAGGGCTTAGGCCTTAGGGTTTAGGGTTTAGGGTTTTGGGGGTATGTTCTAGTATGACAATGTTACGGACTTCGTACAAGGTATCTCCAATTCTTCAGGTTGCTATACTGCTCTTCTCTTTCTAAAGCAGAGGCTGGATCTGATGACCATCCAACCCTAAACCCTAAACCCTAAACCACCAATCAGTCTGGAGGAAGATGTGGAGCTCAAGAGGCTTCAAGAAGACACGGAGCTCAGTGCCGACTGCTGTCAGGTTAGCTGGGAGATGGGCCCTTTTGTCAAGGTCACCGAATTTGTTTGTGGTTAGGCCGTGCATCTTGAGAAGGAACAACCTCGTTTCCCTGCTGCACAATCATTCCGAGTAACCTCCTAGTAGCTGCCAGGCAAAAGCTGTAGAATGAACTCTTCGCCCGGAGTCCAAGACTTGAAACAACCCCAAGGCCACGATCCAGTGCGCACCTCCTTTCCCCCGACAGCACAATCAATCGAATCCTAAACCCAAAGCGAAGAAGCGACAATTTTGGCATCTTATGCCCAAATACAGTAGTATGTACCTCGGCCCCAAAGTACCTTTGCAGGGGCTACTTTACGGCCGAAGTATATATCAACTATTTGGGCACATAGACCCTTGCGGGAGAACGAACGAATTCTGCGGGGTCCTGAAAACCCTGAGTTTCCCAGAGCCAGATCAAGCCCTGACCCCTAACCTCCACAAGCCACCGGAATAAACAGCTTTCTTGTGCGCAACCGTTGGCATTTGAATGGCCCTCCGACTTTCTGGGGCCATTGTAAGGGATGGCTCCTTTTGGGTTACACATCCTGAACTTCAACAAGAGCTCACCCCGACGTTCAATCCGAAGCCCTGAGCCCGAGTGCGAAATCTTAAGCAACCAAGTCTCAGGACCCCCAACCCGATACCCCAAACCTGAATCCAAAACTCCGAAACTCTGACTCCTGAGATCACAAGCCACATCAACAATGACACTGAGCCCGATCATTTAGCCTCCTCAAAATGTCGCAAGTGCTCCCACGGCCAGGGAGATCAGCGCAAGACCGCCTCTCACGATTCAGGCTCAGGCATGCCTAGTTGCTGAGATCCTTGACTCCACGGCTAGTCGAGGATGCTGGCTACCTGTAGTCTCCATTGTAGTTCCTTCTTTTGGTTTAACCAATTATATATTAAGGAATGTATAAGGTATCCCCAAAACGGAACTACAATGGAGACTACAGGTAGGGTTCCAAAAGCCAGACATGGATTACATAAACCCAGATAGAAGTCACGAGTACTGTTACATAAGGGGGTTGTCTACACAGCTCATCCGAGGGCTACAGTAGCTGCTAGGGATTCCCTAACCCCCCCAGGTACCTACTATATAGGGTACTAGAGCCCCTAGGGCCCTATAATATAGTAGGTACCTGGGGGTTTAGGGATTCGGGGGCCGAAGGTGTGGGCGAAGAATTTGACTCCGGAGCTCCGAGACCAGCCAAGGCTTCAGAGCGCTCGGATTGAGAAGCTAAAGCCAGGAACGAAGGTACGTTAGTACATCCCAAGGGTGGGTTTAGGGTTTAGGGTTTGAGGTTTAGGGCTTAGCATCCCAAGGGTGGGTTTAGGGTTTGAGGTTTAGGGAGGGTTTAGCATCCCAAGGGTGGGGTTTATATGACTGAACATAGGCATATGGGGCCCTTATGAAGCGAACCCAAGAACGTTGGAACATGGGATGAGGATGATTAGGGCTGGGCTTCCCCTGGCTTCTAGTTTTTAGCTGCTTTACGGCAAAATGGCCAGACAGGTCCGACTGTTCATGCCCAAGCCCAAGACCCTAAATCCCTAAACACAAACTCTGAACCAGATTGGCCCTAAACCCAAAACAAACCCGAAACCTTGACGCGTATACCCGAAACTCCTAAACCCTACCCTAACCCCCCAGGTACCTACTATATAGGGTACTAGAGCCCCTAGGGCCCTTTATAGTAAGTACCTGGGGGGTTAGGGCTAAACCCTAAACTAGGAACGTCCGAGCCACCACGGCTGGCACCGGATCGCGGCTTCACGTTCACACCCGCCTCCTGCAGAAGTTGCTGTTCCCTCAGGTTTAGGGTTTAGGGTTTATGGTTTAGGGTTTAGGTTTAGGGTTTAGGTTTGAGGGTTTAGGATTTAGGTGTAGGGCTTTGGGTTAAGGGGTCTGGGATTGAGGGCTTAAGTGGGCACTTTGGGGTTTATAGACTGTGAACTCTGAACCGCGAAATCCTAAACCATGCTAAGCTCAAACCATTGCCGAAAAGCCTCTGAAGGTCTAGATCAACAGACCTACACACCAAGCCTAAAGCCTCTGAAGCTAACCCTGAACCCTAGCCTAATCCCCGGATCCTAACCCGGTCCTTTAGGTGTTACCCAAACCTGAAACACTCGGCTTGGTACTCCCAAGGGCCGACGTACTCCCAACATAGAACATGTAGAGACACCATTGTAGGGGTGCTTGCACCCTCAGGGCACTCGTATGTGACCGGCGGTCGTCTTCGTAAACAGCCAGCAGGCATAACCTGTTTAAGAAAGCCCTAACAAGACTTTGAACCGATAGCGGTAGATAATTAGATAGATAGATCCGTCGACAGCTAGAAGCAGATAGATAGATACATAGGTAATTAGATAGATAGACAGACATACACATAGACAGAGAGAGAGAGAGAGTGAGAAAGACAGGAACAACAATACATTTATAATTTAGAGCAAGAGACCCTGGCCCAAAGCAAATCGAACCTGGGGACTGTTCTCTAGTGGCCCACGACGCCAAACCCTGTCAAGTTCTAGATCCCGACACCCTAAGACAACTAAACCACCCCGAAGCCGGAACAAAACATCTATCACAAAGTCACCAAACCCCAAAACCACCAAGGCCCCCAAAAGATTATGTAAACCACCAAGGCCGAATCCTGCGCAGTCTCGTACAGGCCATCGACGATCTGGTCGCCGACCGTGCTCAAAGGCTCCAACTCCATGCGGGCCTTTTCCTTCACATGATCAGGGCTACCCATAGGCTCCATAGCAGTTCCTTTTGGGGATTACCTTATAGGATCCTAAACATAAACCACAAAAAGGAACTACAATGGAGCCTATGAGTAACTTCAATCGTCCCCCAAAGCGCAAACCAGAAAACCACTCCTGAACGCCCTCGAGGATGTCGGAGAAGTTGGACAGCAGGTCGTTTGGCAGCTTGCCAGACGCAGCATCGATCCCGGCGTCCACGAAGTTGTTCCTTGGAGAAGTTATGGAGGGACATGGAGCGCACGCTGCTTGGCCCAGCTACTCCAACACTGGTATTTCGGTATCCTCAAATCATGCAAGAACTGGTATTCCGGCAAACTGAAACTCATAGTAGATTATATACCCACTATTGAGTACCATAAGGGTTCTATTAAGGGGCTAATGTAGGCGCCTTAATGATTTTTATAGTTATAGTATGATGTACCCCAAACCCTATTCTAATTATTAAGGCCTCTTTATATGAGGGGTCCCGGCAAGCCCAAAAAACTCCACTCCAAATGGCATGGCATCGAAGGTCTTGTTTGCCAGGCCGTGCAGCTGGCCTCGGAACAAACACGTCGGTTTTGGGTTTAGGGTATTGGGTTTAGGGTTTAGGGTTTTAGGGTTTAGGGTTTAGGGGTTTAGGGGTAACAAACATGTCGGTTTTGGATAGGGATGTAGGGTTTATGGCATTGTAGGGGCATGTGAGCAGGGTGTTGGGGTAAACGAATAGTTAGTACAGTTACAGAGTTACACATCGGGACTAACAAGGGAATGCTGCCGTTATCTATTCGGACCTATCAC